ATTTAAAGTTTGCAGCAGCCAGAATGCGGGCCAGCTGCAGAGCAAGCGCGTCCCCTCTCTCCTCGCGGGTATTTGCTGACAGTGTGAGGAATAGTGCTGGGCACCCTCACACCCAATTGTCCCTGAAAAGACCTGCGTTTCCGCCCTTCACTTGTTTTCTCTACAGCACTGATTCTAAATCCTGGAGGCACACCTGGGCAACTGAAAAACGCTGGTCTCTGCCCATCTGATGTTTTACTGTAATGTGCCTGGGTTGAGGCCCAATAGGTGATTTTACATACCTCTCCAGGTGAGATTCACCTGGGACAGGGTCCTCAGAATATGGTCCCCCAACCACCAGCATCAGCATAACATGGGGACTTCTTAGAAATGCGCCTTGTGGGCTACTCCCAGCCTCCTGCACCAGAAACAGCCCAGCCAGCCATGTCTTGCCAACCCTCCAGGGGGCTTGCAGGCATGATCACCTGGAGAACTACTGTCGGCCGGCTGTCTAAGCAGCACTACCTTTTTGTCCCTTTAAGAGGAAAATGATGGCACTGATGGAAAAGCTCCTACAGTTTTTGTGTAAAACTGAAACGGTTAATGGTTCCGTTGGAAGACAGCAAAATGGATGCTCATTACTCAAAACACTTTCCTGTCTCTTTTGATAAACCTCGAGTCTCAGCAAGAATAGCAGGGGTCCAGTTTCAGGAATACAGAAGGCCCTTCCTAGCAGGACTTCCCCAACTCTCCAGACCCAGAGGCCTGAGTTTCTTCGCCTGCCTCTTTGGTGTGGTGAGACCAAGAGAACTTCCACAGTGTTAACACATGGGGAGAGGCTGTGGGACACAAGAAACAGGATGGGCCTAAAACAAAACCAAAGTCTCCCTCCTGTGTGGAAAGTGTCATATTCGACTCAAAGACTATCTGACTATTCTTGGCAAGCTGTGGGGAAAGAAAAAGACATGGCAGCCAAAAGTAAACAGAACAGGAGGNAACACTTTCCTGTCTCTTTTGATAAACCTCGAGTCTCAGCAAGAATAGCAGGGGTCCAGTTTCAGGAATACAGAAGGCCCTTCCTAGCAGGACTTCCCCAACTCTCCAGACCCAGAGGCCTGAGTTTCTTCGCCTGCCTCTTTGGTGTGGTGAGACCAAGAGAACTTCCACAGTGTTAACACATGGGGAGAGGCTGTGGGACACAAGAAACAGGATGGGCCTAAAACAAAACCAAAGTCTCCCTCCTGTGTGGAAAGTGTCATATTCGACTCAAAGACTATCTGACTATTCTTGGCAAGCTGTGGGGAAAGAAAAAGACATGGCAGCCAAAAGTAAACAGAACAGGAGGTGGAGCCAGTATTTTGACATTTAGGTCAAGGTACCAAAGAAGGGAAGAGGACTGCAGCCCAGGGAGCCCACTCACCCGCTGCCCCATCCTTCCTTCCCACCAGCCTCCAAGCCACAGGGCCTCACCTTTCACGATAGTGGCCTCCTTCAGGTGATGGGACAAGAAGTCAATGCTGGCATAGGTGTTGGCAGAGGTCAGGGTGCCAGGGCCCACCCCGCCACACGCCCCGTTGGAGCTGCTGCTCCCCACAGCACTGATGACACCCCCGAGGCTAAGGGTCCGGCCCCAGGAGCTCTTATCTCCCTGTTGTGGGTGCTGCTGCGGCTGCGGCGATGGCCCCGGCTCGTCCCTCACGTCGATGGCAATGTAGTTGAGACCATTCTGGAAGCCGGCAGAGGTCTCTCTGCGCATCAGAGAGCCACTGCCTACAGGACAGCTCACCAAGCCCCCAGGCTGACCCGGGGGCCACGGCCGAGCCTGCGGTGGGAGTGAGGGCACCGGAAGCGATGGCTGCAACTGGTGGGGGGATGTGGGGGGCTCGTCACCTCCACCAAGTCCCCCACCGAGGACACCCCCACTGCTGCCCTCGCTGCTTTTCCTGAGAGAGACGTTTTCCACAGAAGCCGAGTTGTGTCGCTTAGGGTTGTGGGCGAAGGATGGGGACACGGGGGTGACAGTGGTGGTAGAAGAGAAGGTCTCCGAGCTGTGGCGGCGGCGGCCTCCCTGTGGGTCTGCACGGATGACCTTGGCCCCCCTGTGTGGGTCTGGGGGCTGGCCGGCCTGAAGGAAGGCCTCAACCCCCGACACCTGATCCATGAGGCTCAGCCTCTTCACGCCTGACGTCGGGCTGCTCACTCGGGCGCCTTCCAGCTTTGGGGGTGCCGCAATGGGTTGTGGCGGGGTGGCAGCCACGCCAAAGGCCATCTCGGTGTAGTCACCATTGTCCCCAGGCTCAGAGGACGACGAGGAGGCAGCGCTTGGGCCCTGGGAGGCGGCAGAGGCTGACGCTGGAGTCAGGCGGTACAGCTCCCCTGGGGGTGGCGCGGGCGGGGGCTGC